AGCCATACAGAGCACACAAAACCCTCGGACACAGCAACTGGAAATGAGACTGAGGGTACACAGAGAGGGCGACCCCTGTAAGAGTCATCTTTTCTATCCTCCATCTTATTGTCAAGGCAACAAACAGCACTGGGCTCCAGATTTAAAAGCCACCATGTCTACTGCTCCCACTGACCTGAGATAACACAGAACTGGGTGTTATTCTAATACAGCCAGGACAGGTTCTGCTGGTGTATTTGTGTTCATGTGGGCTTGTCACCAGGAGGCAGGCCTAGAGGCAACAAGAGAAGACGGGCCCCCTCCTGTCTGCAGGGGTTCTGTCCACTCTCCGAGGAAGGGCCCACATCTCTTGCTCACATAACCCCTCAGCTTCTAGCACAGTGCCTGCCCGGTACATGGTTGTGACTCATGAATTTCTCAGGACACGAAGGAACGGATGGATAGCTGGAGGATGTCTGATTCACTGCTGTGTTCCCAGGGCTCAGGGAACCTGAGATGGCTGCGGCTGAACACCTCGGGATTCAAAAGATTCTACAAAGATTGCAGGTAGACAAAAAGAAATATACATGGACCACAGTGGCACCATGCAGTCCCCACCTCATTATTCCTGCACTTTCTGAAGCCACAGAAGCAGATTGAGAAGATCAGTGCTCAAGGTTCTCCTTATTTCTGCAGCCACTTTTCCGCCAAGTTAGACTTATCACAACCTGTCCTCTTAATCATTTTTAAACCATTGCACCCCTCAACTAGGCTGTGTTGAAGAGTACCAAAGTGACTCTTCTAGATATGACAGCTAGAAAGACAGAAAGATAGAATAAATGATACCAAGATGATGGATGGATGGACATATGATAGAATAAAAGAACGATAGAAAGGTAGATCAACAGATATGGTTGGATGGATGGATGGATGGATGGATGGATGGTAGAAAGATAGCTGGATGGATAGGGAGGCGGGTGAACTGAGTTGGGATTGTGTGGGTGCACACATGTTACCTGCATTTCACTCATCAGGAACAACATCCCCACCTTGGCAGAGCAGAAGCTCCGCCTATCTCACTTACTGTATCATGTCGCTCTGTACCATCATACGCGGACTGACCCTAATGTTAGGTGGAGTGCACAGGTCTCCAGTCAGCATCTCTGGCCCTCTCAACCAGGGGGGCAGAAGTTATGTTGGAGGAAAGAATAAACCACAGAGGGTCAGCCCTTCAGAAGTTTCCTTGAGTGTTTGGGATTCGAGTCGCTTTCTCCAAAGCCTTCTTTTAAGCAGCAGAAAGAGGAGGAAAGCAAGCAGAACATCGGGTGCTCTATTTTTATCTTTTCGTGGAGTGCACAACTTGTCGATTTTCCCGTGATAGACGTTCATCCCTTGCATGACTGACCCACACTGCCAAAAAGCAGTGCATAAAACACAGGCCATTTCTGCTGCTGAGCTAGCACGTCCCACAGCGACAGCCAGCTTCACACATCAAAGGGCTATGGACAAAATGTGACAAAGGACTTTCAGAGATTCCCCTCTGGAAGTGACAGGTTCCTCATTTTTGCTAAAAACAGGTGACACACTGGCTTTAAATATCTTAAACCAAATAAGGTTTAGGAAAACCACGGATGTTCCCTAGTCTCTGTAACCTACCAGGGGCCTTTCCGGCTATGCCGCCTTGACATCCACGGCCTTTAGAGACCACACAATCCTTCCCAAACTGGTGTTGTCAGTCATTTCTACCAGTAGGACTGGGTCGCTGTTCTCCCGTTTCATCACGTGTCCTTTTCATGGAGGACACAGTGACATGAGTAAACACGTCACTCCATGTTCCACTCTCCCCTGTTCTGCCGCACTCAGGCTGGCTCGCTCAGGTATGCTCTTTCACACACGGACACGGCACCCGCCTCATCTCTCTGTACATGAAGGAAGGACCACAGACCTGGTGACTGCATAGAAAGCAAATTCCCCAACACCTTTGTGAATGGCCAACAAGAATGAGGCTAACAATCTCTGAGGAGGGGCAGGCTTGGGATACTAAAACCTCGTGAGTCTGCCCAGGGCCACATAGGCCTGTTTGTCTATGTGTATATTTGGGAGACCTTGGCATCCCTGGGGACAGGACAGTCCTGGCTGGCAATGATGAGGCTGAGCATACAGGTTTAATTTATGACACTAACCACCACTTACTGTCTGTACTCACAGGTCCCACCCTCCATGCAACAAGGTCCAGGGTCCCATAAAAACACCCCCGCCCCCGAGGGGGCATCAGCAGGCTCCTCCCCTGTCCCGGGCCCCAGGCCTGCTTGTTCTGAGTCTCCTCATGGGGGATGACCGGATGTGACTGGGCCACCTGCCGGCTCTGGCACCAGCTCCTTAGAGTCACCTACCTGCCTGGGCAGCACCCTTGCGGGAACTGAGCCAGACACAGCTCTTAGCCCCTCAAAACCTCACTCAAGTCGAATGCTCAGCACACACACTGACCAGAGGTGAACAGAGACACATATTAATAATCACTTTTGCCAGAAACATCCTCCTCTCTGGGATACCGCCCTCTGAGTTCAGGACCCCTCTTCACAGTTCTCCACAGGCCGGCTCTGCATCTAGACCCACAGACATTATCTGCTTCTAGCAGAGCAGACGGAGAGCAGGCACTATCACTTCATGTTTCCAAAGATATGAAAGAAGCCTGTAACTGCTAGCACCACCAATGACCTGAAAAAAGCAAATGCACTCTGTCTTTCTCCAATTACCTCATTCTCTGGGAATAAAATGAAATTTGAAACCACACAGAGGTTCTGGTGCTGAAGGGAGAGCATTAGCATAAATATTGGCTTGGCGGAACTTACATTTTTCTTGCGCTCCCAGAACTGAAGTGCTGGCTTTTTTTTTTTTTTCTTCCCCTTCCTGCCTCATGCATTTTCTGAACATCAGCAGAAAACTAGTTTTGTCATCAGAAAACTACTCTGGCCTGGCTTTTAAATCTGGCTGCTGGCACCTATCGGAGAATTGATCAGGGATAACTACTTTTGACTTAAAAATCATGTAGTAAAAGTAAAATAACCAACTGCTAAAGAGAGATGGAACCTAAGGTCATCTTGTTTGCTAACAGAGCCGGCAGGAGACCCAAGAGCTCGTTTTAATAACTGGGATGTGTGGTGTAAAGGGTGTTGCACCCGTCAGTTCACTGCATTGTCATCCTTTCCCGTGTTCTGTTCTGATCACTCTCAGTGGAAACAGGCAGACAAACCGCTGTAGCAAAAATGCACTCAGCCCAAAAGCACTGGCAAACTGAAGAGTCAATTCTCAGTCCCGGGGTCTTACTTTCTGTCATGACAGAAATCCTTACAGGTAATCCTGGTTTGAGTTCTTTGATTGAATCTAACATCTGTAGGGATCTACAGTCTGGGCCAATTGGAGTAAACCAGTGGTCCCACCTCCCATTTACCCACATACCTTTCAGAGGTATCCCTGAAAGATGAGATTTTTTTTTCTTTTCTAAATATAACACTCTTTTAACCTATGAATTATACCCAGTCTTAAGACCTACCCTATTCTCCAGCCACACATAACCACCTTCATTACCAAAACACACCTTGAACTGCTACCTGTGGAGTCTCCCATGCTGTGCGTTCAAGGTTCTATTTACTTCACCTGAGCCAGAGCAAGCGTCCCTTGGCATGTATTGTCACTTCCTCCCTGTGCTCCTGGAGTCTCTGTTGTGTATATCAAGCTCAGAGTCATGTCATCTCCTCAACAGGAGCTTGAGACCCAAACAAGCAGAGGGCAGATGATTGTCTGACCAACGACTTCATGCAGTGCCTGGCTCCTCAGAGTTGCCTATCCAACATTTGTTCAATGGATAAGGAATTGTTGTGCCGAAGGGATTAAAACACATTCATCACGGTATAGTAGCAATAAAGAAGATATATGTGGTGTCCTTTTTCTTCAGAGAAAGCACTGATGTGTGTGAAAAATGCAGACAGTTCAAGAGCCGTTCGGAAATGGTTCCAAATTCCAGTCTGTGTCCAAACATTGTCCGGGGCTAAGCTATAAAAATGTAACCGAGGGAAACCTCCACCAGCATAATTAGGCCTCACCTCCACCTGCAGGTTGTTTCCCAGAGGCAGGAAGAGAAATGGGAAATAATACCATCTAAGTCAGCGGTTCTCAACCTGGAGGTCGAACGACCCTTTCACAGGGATCACCTAAGACCACTGGAAAACACATATATAATTACATATTGTTTTTGTGATTAATCACTATGCTTTAATTATGTTCAATTTGTAACAATGAAAATACATCCTGCATATCAGATATTTACATTATGATTCATAACAGTAGCAAAATTACAGTTATGAAGTAGCAACGAAAATAATTTTATGGTTGGGGGTCACCACAACATGAGGAACTGTATTAAAGGGTCGCGGCATTAGGAAGGTTGAGAACCACTGATCTAAGTGATGCATGGCCTGGGCTCTGTCTGGATGCAGCCGCAGCACAAACCTGATGCAAGTGCCCAGAGCCCATGGAAGCTTTCTTCACACACCTCCTCCTCCCTTGTACTGTGAGGGAGGGAAAAAGCCGCCACTCCCGACCCGGCTGAAGGGTGTCCATTCTTAACCACACCCTCCACCGCCACAGGAAGCCCTTTCTTTTGCTTTTCCGGGCTACTTACTTCTTCAGGGAAACCTTCACTCTCCAGCTCTGAACCCTCACACCACACACAACTGGTCTTTCCTCTGTCTTCCCAAAGCTCTATTCAGACCTAGTGCAATGTTTCCCCTGACTCAGAGGATGGTATGTGACCCCTCCCACTAGACTGTGGGACTTTCCTGGGCAGAAACACTGTTTTCCATCTTCGTACGACCAGCTTCCAGCCCGCAAGATTGAGAAAGGGGGTGCTTGGTCAGTGTCACCCGAATTGGTCCACATTTCCATTATCTCCTGCAGAAACTGCACCTACACCTTAAGCACCCTGTGGAGATAAGCCGAATGCAACTGTGAAAGCACTTTACCTCTTTCAGAACCAGCACGCATTTGCCTGGTCCCACCGACTGAGGTAGCTCTGCGATCCTCCCCTTGTTTAGGTAAGGGCCTGAGAAGCACCTGTGATTGATGAAGAGCTGAGGACAGCAGTATTTCCCGTTGACAGGACCTGTGGGAAGAGCAACACAGCTGAGACTTTAGGAAGCAACAAAAAGCTTGCTTAGTCCACTTGGTTGGCAAAATTACCCATTGGCACACTGTGACTTAATATCAGAACGTTTTATAGACTTTATAGACATAATACTGTCTTAGAAATCCTGATTATTTTTCTAGCATATAAAATAAATTTTCTGTTTGCCATGCAGTATTCAAGACACACACAAAATGCAAAAATTAAGACAATGATAACTAAGGGGGGAAAAATCACATTGCATAGCTAAGTTCCCTCCCCTGTGTGTCCTACCCCAGAAATTCCTCTCAGAGGCAGCCACTACCCTGCATTGGTACTTATCATTCCCATGGAAGTCTATAAATTCTACCATACACATATAGCACATATAGGTATGTGTGTAACAACAAGGTTTTCAGCAACATTTGGTGGTTCAACATGAAGTTTTTGAGATCCACCCAAGTTGGTAAATAATTATCCAGAACATATATTCATTGTTTTCACTTCATTTTTCATTATTCCATTATAAGAATATATTACAATTGAGTTTTCCATTCTTTTATTGATGGACATTACGTTGCTTCCACTTTCTCAATGTCACCAACAGTGCTTTACTGAATACACTGTAAAAATCATCTGCGTATCTTTAGTTTTACTAGATATGGCCAAACTGTTCTCCCAATGACTGCCCAAACGGATCCTCGAATAAGCACTGTGTAAGAGTGCCTGGTCTCCCACCCAGGCCAACAGAGGTATTGCAGGGCTTCTTTATTTTGCCATTCTGATGGATGCGAAATGTTCCTTACAGGGGCTTTGATTTCCATTTCCCTCACTATTCTTTCAACTTAGAAAGTGAACCAGGCAAGTGATTGGTCTAGTTCAGTGGTTGGCAAACTCATTAGTCAACAGAGCCAAATATCAACAGTACTTCTTCAAAATAGACTCGCCCAGGCCGAAAACGGACTTCTGCGCATGGGCCACTAAGTTTCAATCGCACTGTACGTGAGCGCCCGCAAGTGGTATTTTGTGGAAGAGCCACACTCAAGGGGACAAAGAGCCGCATGTGGCTCGCGAGCCGCAATTTGCCGACCACGGGTCTAGTTGTATCTGGAGCTGCCACAGGGAAAAGGAGAATTACTACACGGTAAGATATCACTCCAAACTTCTTGATGCCTAAAAACACAGACTGAGGCTTCACTTTCAGCCAAGGACTCAGGCTCTGCCACTGCTGCTCCAAGCTAAGCTACACTCACAGTGGCATTTCTGTAGAACAGCTGTTATAATTAAGATGGTAATTTAACAATCCAGGAAGTTTTGTTCTCATGGGACTTCAACTAAAAACCAACAGGTAACAAGAGGGAGTAAAATAACAATTACAGACTCTGAATGAGTAGCAGACACGATACTTTTAAAACCATTCTAAGTTTGAATGCTATACAACAGGCTAAAAAATTTAGTCTACAACTGCATTACATGGGAATTTTTGGGTAGGATTACTCTGCCCAGACGTTTAGGAAAAAACCATTTTAGTAAGTCGACTCATAAAACTGCTCTCTTTATGATAAAGATAACTTTAACTAATAGGGTTTTTCCACAGCATAAAGCTTTTAAACCTGAAATTCAGAGCAGGTTTCACTTTGACTAGAAAATAGAATTCTTAATCAAATATATTACTGAGTGTACCAACGTGTCTATAATCAGATTTGTGGTCAAAGGCTAATTCACATTTGCGTTTCCAAAGATCACTGTAAGATATAGGACTTTACATATTAAAAACATATTATTCACAACCAGTTATTCAAACACAGAGGGTTTTAAAAAACAATTCAAAAGCCTGCAGGGATTTAAGTATAAACCACTACGGTAAAAATGCAAGTGGAACTGACATAAAATGTAAAAAGGGAATGTCCGATAATTATTACTTTCAACTCCTTCTTTTTCTGCATGATTTTTCATGATACAGCCTTAAATGGGCTCATAATTTCTAATGAGCACATGGACCCTTTTCCTGTAGACCAAGAGAACTGTCTAGAGCTACTGACCAAAAAGCAGAAAAGAAGAGGCACAAAGAATTTAACTTAGAAAAAAAACACACATTTTTATAACGTTATCCATTAATAAGTAGCAACAGAGTACAAGAGAATAGGCTCAACGCTGAAATATTCACATATTGACCTAAAAATATATTCATGTCTCCACTCATAACAACAAATTGGGAAGTGACAGAGAGCCCTAAAATGGGTTCATTTACCTGTGGTTTCCAGGTGAGGGAATAAACAATGGTCATGAGGTATTTTCTCAACAGGCACTGTGGATGTCAATCTGTTGATAAAGAAAACAAAACTCTCATGGGTTCACACTGTATGGAAAACCATTGCATTCCAAAGTCTTTTTACAACTTAAAGCGACTATTAGAGAAATCCAAGCTAGGAGTCTAGTAAGATAGGATGTGTGCATCTAGGAGCAACCTCACTAAGAATATATAAAAAGATGATTTAGATTGTTCTCAAATTCTTGTAATAATCCTAAGACACCTGACCCTTGAGTGGTCATCACTGATTAATGAGGTTCTTCTAGGTCACTCCTGGGCTGATCTTTTGTTATAGAATTATAATAATGTCCTTAATGATATTTTAGACATGAAGAAACATCAACTTACATTGACTTTAATCAAAGTCAGATTTCTCTCTAATGCCTAATTGAAAACCACTTTCTGCTGACCTTTGGTTTTGGGTGACTGTGTTTGTGTGGGTCATGGCCACACTGAGAACAAGACCTTCAAAGAAAACCCATCAGTGATGGTTCTTAAAATGTGCAGTAGGCTTATTCTAAGACAAAAGTTTACATTCTAGTTCAGTAAAAAGTTGCTGAATAAATACAAAGCGATGTAGCCTTAGGGGGAAAAAGAATGGGTTTCACAGGGCGTCTAGGTTGGCTGGGTAGAAAACACACTTGAAAAGCTACATAAAGTTGAAGTAAACCAATAGGAGAGATATAAGTTGGGTCGTCTATGGCACTGGTTCTCAAAGTGGGGGCCTCTAAACTGGCAGATCAGTGTGACCTGGGAACTTTTTAGACATGCTGAGTTGGGTGTTTTGGAGATGGGCGCCTAGCTGCCTGTGTTTGACGAACAGTCTGGTGACTGATGCAAAGAAAGGGTGAAACCTGCCGATCCACGGACTGCACATTTAGGAGTTAGGTATTCAAATATGGATTCAATGATGAAACCATTATTTTATTATTTATTCTCTATTTTAATGTTGGAGTCACATTATTAACTTGATACACTGTTTAGAAATGAATGTGCAAGAAATTCTGTTATCCACATTTCAATAACAATGCAGCTATTATTCAATTTCATTTTATTTAAATTTAAACATGAAAAATGTGGTTTTTAATTTCATTTCCATCAGTAGATTAAGAAAACAAAAAGGCTTGGCAAGGGATATGTATGTTAGTATATTTTAGATATTTTCCAATATATAAAACTGTTACCGCCAGTTACAAGTTTCCAAAAACATACTGCTGGCATCTACACAGGATGCCCAAATACCCTTTTTCCTCATAAAATTTCAACTGAAATGTGAGATAATCTATACTTATTCAATAATATAGGACCTACAAATTTTACACACAGAATTCAATTTAACTGTCCTAAAAACCCTGAGAAATAGGTATTTTACAACTGAGATGCAAAAAAAATTAAAGCAACTTGCAAAAGTACACCCAGTTGGGAGGTGGCCAAGCTGGGCAGCAGCCCTGAAGTCTCTCTCAGCAGGCCCAGCCATGACTAGTGGCGGGGAGCATGGTAGGTGGGACTTCGTGGCCTCTAGGGCATTAAGAACCACTATCACAGAGAGCCATCTATATATATAAAGAGCCAGGGGACGTCACATCCAAAACAACAGAATGGATGACCGAACAGACTGAGTGGGGTGACCAGGCCAGCAGGGGGGTTAGTGAGGGATGACCAAACGACTGAACAAGCAGGCTGCGTGGTGAAGGAGAGAATTAGGCCACTTTATCTCTTTCTCTAAATCTGCCTGTTCTCTCCACCTATAATGTTAAAGGCCAGGAAATAAAAAGTGAAAACATATCGTGTCTCTGGGAAATTAATCAAGTGCAAGAAAGGCTTAAGGAGACATCCTATATAATAAAAGCCCAGAGACCGAGACGGCGGAATGACCAGAGACCAGAAAGACCATGGCTCCTTACCCTGGCTGGCAGCTCCCCAGTGAATGGTTAGGGGCGCTCAGGCAGGCAGGCAGAGTGGTTAGGGGTGATCAGGCAGGCCAGCAGGCAGGCAAGCGGTTAGGAGCCAGTGGTCCCAGATTGTGAGAGGGTGCAGGCTGGGCTGAGGAAACACCCCCCCCCCCCCATGAATTTTGTGCACCAGGCCTCTAGTCACTAATAGTGAGTGAGACTGGGGTCTCCTTCCGGTATGCTGAAGTGGAATCAAAGTGAGAAGTTAAAATTTTGAGTAGAAGTTCCTTTAGAAACATGCCCTGTGCCTTGCACAAAATAGGTGCACAGTAAATCATATTTTACTGTCATCTTTACTTCTGTGCTATGTGTTAGACTAACTCTAATAACAACATCTATGCTTCCCATCCTCTATAAAGACACTCCATAGTTTATCAGTTCATTTTTGAAAACTAAACAAACAGAAAAACAAAAAAGAAAAACTTACTGTTTTTCTGGTTGCACAACTGCAATCTTTCTCTTCTGTTGTGCTGTAAAACAGGCCAAAAAAAAAAAAAATCAGCTTGGTTAACTAGTTGGGTAAAAGCATTTCAAAAAAATGGCTTTAAAGCTGTTAGTTTTAAAGTAACAATTTAAATACTGAAAAGTTATTTCATTCATGCCACAATTTTATCTTAATTGCTTCAAGCATAAAATAGACTTTGACTTATCAGAAATGAGGTCTAAATAGAATTTAGTACATTTAATCTTATCACTACACACTGTCTATTTCATTTTAAAATGTGATTTAATAAGAAAGAAAAATAGCACACATATCATACCTCACATGAACACACCTGGTAAGATGAATTGTTGCAAGTACGATTATCCAGATGACTTTTTTTCCCAAAGAAAATGTGATAAGTCAAATAATGTTACCATAACGGCTACTCCCAAATTAGGATTAGAGGCATGTTCTTAAACTAAAACATTTATTATTGAAAAGAGGGTTGATATCTACCAAATGTGTCTATGAAATAGTAACATAAAGCAGTCAATAATAATTTTTTTGAAAAGAACATTTCCATTTCATATTTATAATTGATTAGAACCACCTTAACAAAGACAGACCAGAGCTTCTGGCATCTATTTTGGTACAAATATTCTTGAAATTTCCAACATAAGCATAAATTAATCCCAACAAAACCTCTAAAGCTGTTGAGAGTTGGTGGGTTTAGACTTAGAGGGAAAAAAAACAATGACTTGAGATTGAAATAATTATCCTGGGCTCAAAATTTTAGAAATATTTTAAAGTGAGGGGAATATATTACTCTCATTAGATCAGTCTCACTGAACAGTATGGTATCTGAGAGAGAAGAATCCTTTAAAATTCACTTTGCCTACAATCAGAGCTACCTTCTTTATTTCACACAGTGTCCTACCCTACTCTTGATGAATATCGAATAGGAGGACTCTAGCTAAGTTCCCTTCAAAATCTGTTGACATCAGGAAATAAAAGGCCAACTTTGAGATGGAACTTTCTCTATAGCAATGCTCTTAAATTATACATAAGTGATCCACATGTACATTTAGTGTATATGTAATATACACTCAAGTGTACTGCTAGAAATAAGTAAAGCTAGCATATAAATTACATTTAAAATATAAGAAATATAATCTGTGTCATAAAAATTAAAACCCCTTAGCTTTAAGGAACCAAAATTTTAAATAATATTTTTGATACACCTATGGTAGAATATTTAATGCCAAGGTTTATTAGGTTTGAAGATTTTCAAATGGTACCTTTTCAAGATAATGACCTATTATTATAAAAATGTACTTTAAAACACACTGTTGTACCTACAGCATGTCCCCAAAGAAAGTATGAACACTTTAGCAGGTGATAGCTCAATTTTCAAAATGAAATGTATTTTAATAAAAACTGCCTTTATAATTATTCAACATGTGTGTATACATTTTTTGGGACACCCTATATTTAAGTGTGTGTATTGTGGGACTGGTTAACCACTAATATTGTTTTTTCCCCACTAATATTGTTTTAAGTTGGTACCGGATGTGATGTAATGCTCTTTTCAAAGTACAGTTGAAATCTCACTGGTCAATTAGTGCTAATAGTAGTTAAGTGTTTATATCTATGTCACTAAATTATTGGGACCAATTATGACTCCTTTGGGGTAAACCTCATGAGAAAACGTAGTCCTTTCTCAGATATGATAATACAAAAATATAGTAGTTAGTCTAATATTTTTAATAAAAATAATGAGCTGTATACAAAACAGAGAGAAGATTCCAGATATTTATTTCTGCCTCTCGGTGACCTTCAATTGTCCCGTCATTGTGACTTAGTTTATCAATCTGTGAAATGTTCATCTCGTGCACTTAAAGAATAAATGAGATTTAAAAAATCGGTGCTCTGTGGGAAATTTAAAACCTTTTCTTTGTTTACAACTTGGCTATCTTATCTTAACAAAATTGCCTATTTATTCATGCTAACCCTGGAGGTTATCCATCTGGGCTCCAAACTAGGCGATACTTACGGACTATTTTGTGAGGTGTAGTCAAAGGGTAAGAATTCGCTTCACACCAGCCCACTGGGAAGATGTCCATGGATTCAACATCAACAATAAACTCTGGAGCAGGAGTCTGCAGGCCTGCATTGAAAAGTTAAGACAATAGGTACAAACAGGTTTTACCAAAAAAGACACTGAGGAAGACAGGAAAATACTGAGCAATCCTGAGACTGAGGAAAACATACTCCTGGGTATTAAACACAAAACTGACAATACCTTCTGACAGACACAAATGCCTGAAATATAAAACAGCAAGAGCACAAGGGGTTCAAATAGAGTGGAGGGGTTGGAAAGGAGAGATCTTCCAACTGAAAATGGGAGGAGGAAGTAACCCAGAAACAATGGCATCAGAGCCAGAAAAGCTAGAAGAGGGAACGAGTCTCTTCCTTTCCTCAGAATAGCTTTGAAATTAAAGAAATGTGGCTGAGCTTCAGGTGGGGGCCACAGGGCACATCTTTAAGCCACCAAGACATTCTTCACCCAGCACCAAGCAAAGATCAGCCTTTAGCTAATGAGAGTTAAACATGGCTTTCTCTATAACACCAATTACAAGCAGTGAAAACAGATGACACAATTCTCTAGGGAACATGTTCCTTTATAAGTTTGATTGGAGTTGATTATTTTGAACTCAGTTTTCGGCTTGCAGACTTTGGCCACGTCACACCACAGTCTGTATGTAGTGTTGTCTTTTTAGTGGGGATCTGCCTACTTCCTGTTTCATAATCATAATAACGCCCTGTGATAAATCAGCATCATAGCAGAACCTCCGAAAAGGAGGAGAGATCTGGATGCAATACCTGTATTAGCTAAAGTTTCAAGGAGCTCTAGCTACTGAGAGAATAAAACTAGAACCCAGAAAACTAGTGAAAAGAAGAAAATTCTACTCTGAATCAATAGTCCTTTAAAAAAAAAAAAACACTCTGAGAGAAGATACTCTTGAACCAAGAATCGAAAGATAAAGGATCTATTAATAGAGAGTGACTAATGGGCTCTGACCACTTAAATCTTAATTTGCTTTGGTTTCTTCACTGAGAACCAAGATGAAAATAACACAGTAGAGCCTCGCACACATCCAGGTCACCACACGACATCTGATGATTTTTTAATCATATCACCTCAAAAAGTTAACTTCCTGAAGCTAAATACCAGCAAACACAAAATGTGAGCTACAGTTACATTGATTCCCAACTTCTCAAATCTCATTCTAGAGTAGACATTGTGAAAACAGAGTATGTTATTTGATCAGTGGACGTTCCCAATTTAGTGTCATACCAAGATAGTGATGCATATAGTGCAATCTGAATGCAGATTCTGGTATATGTGAGCACTGAAAACAGATTCGTAGACACACATATTATCATCGCTATTAGTCACTTTAAACTTTTGATTTGTTCTCAAAGAAAGCAATTACTGTTATTATCAATCTTAACTTACTTTTTGCTTAATTCTCCTATAATTTAAAAGATATATGCTAAATAAATGCAATCATGTTTATAGGGATTACTTTGGAATAGAAATCATTTGTCTCATACAACTCAACTGTGAAAATTAATAAACAGAAACCTCATTTAAATTTTGTAATTAATTTGAGGAAGAGAGAGAGAGAGAGAGAGAAAGAAAGAAAGAAAGAAAGAAAGAAAGAAAGAAAGAAAGAAAGAAAGAAAGAAGGAAGGAAGGAAGGAAGGAAGGAAGGAAGGAAGGAAGGAAGGAAGAAAGGAAGAAAGAAAGAAAAGCGTGCATTTGTTGTTCCACTTGCTTATGCATTTGTTGGTTGATTCTTGTATGTGCCCTGACCAGGACGAACCTGAAAACTTGGCATATCCAGATGACACTGTAACCAATTGAGCTACCTGGAGAGGGCAAACAGAAACCTCATTTAGAATGGAGGTTAGAAGAGAGAACTCTCACCCAAGTGTCACTCAATATGCACTCACTGCTGATCCCAAGGGAAGAGAGGTACCTGCATCTGACAGGAAGTGGTACTACTGTACCACCTCGCAGGAGGAAGGGTCTTCCTTCCCCAATAACAGCTCAGTCCATGAGAGACCACCGCAACTCAGGCGATGAGAAGTCACTATACTTGAACTTTCAGTTGCCTCCAATAGACTCTTCCTTTACAACAGCCCCTCCCAACTGCAGAAAAGACTGCTTCTCTCCTTTGTTTCTGAACTTCCCTGGTGTGCCATTAGGCCACATATCCAGAATTACAATTCTTTGTTGTTCCCAAATAAGCCCATTTTGATGAAGAAATATTTGTCTATTTGTTCAAGGTCAACACAATCAATATTTAACCTATTTGTCAAATAAGTAAAAAGACATCCAAAACAAACAAAAGGTAAAGAAACTCTCCACGTAGCTCAAAGGTGGAAGTGATTTTTCTTGTCCCCAAGGGCACACAATTCTCCAGAGGTTGCAATGAAGAGGGTTGTTGGGTTATTTCCCCATTACACAGGGGATGAAGATGTTCTAGTTTTCAAACTCACGAAAATAGTGTGTGTTTCTCAGTTACTCAACAATTTTGCTCACAAATTGAATTCAGCTACTAGATATGTTTCTATTTACATTTGTACCATATTTACATTTAGGTACAAATAACATTTTCAAGGTCAAAGTGGCATAAACTGAACTTTATAGCTTATTCCTTCCTGAATTATGACTTTTGTCTTCCAATGTTCTGCTAGTTCAAACATCACATCATATTAATGCTTTAATATATACACTCTGTAACAATGTATACATTAATACATTTCTAAGGCTGTCTTTACAGTACTTTAAAATTCTTTGATCATGCTTTCTATTCAATTAAGCAAATATTTATGAGCTGCAATGTGTCAGCTACCATATCCTCAAGAAAGTTATAGTCCTGTCTTCCTTCCACCCCCAAATCCAGCCCATTAAGGCAAAAACTAATAGAAAAGTGGGTTCTTTGTCATCCAGGGAAGATTTCCAATCCTGTTCTGAATGATGGTACCAATTCTTTATTTCTCTTTATCAACCTTATGAATCTGGATACATCTGGCTGGACTCGGAATAGTTTTTTAGAACATAATCTCTTATAATCCATTAAAAATGTATACAGTGCTCTTTTCTTGATTATTCTAGGATTGCCAAAACCACGTATGCAAAGCTAAATGCTCCAGTAAGGACCGCTGTAACATATTTATCAATTCACAGGAAAATCTCTTATAAATGACACAAGACTATGGCTCAATCTCTGACTTTATTTCTGCTGCATCAAGTCAATATGGACTCTACTTATTTGTTCTTATCCAGATCCTTCATTTAAAAAAAACTTCAGGAAGCCTAAACCTCCATCTATGGAGAAGAAATTAAATAACTATCACACATCCATAAGATGGAATATCCTGCCTCTATGAAAAAGTATAAGAAACCTCTTTATATACTTATATGTAAAAACATGTATGTATAGTTGAATACACAGTGCTCGGCAGGGTGCAGAATACTCTGTATATACAGTAGGCTACCATCTGTTTAAAAAAGAAAAATAACATATTTTTATATGTGCATGAAATAAATCTGGAAGGAAAAGCAAAATACTAATCCAGTGGGTGTCTGCTCAAAAAAGAACTGAGTGGCTGTAGGCTGAGGAGACAGGAGAGGTAGAGAGAATCTGACTAAAGATAGTTTCACTTATTTGGGGCCTTTGTGAATGAATTACTGATTTTACAATGACAACCTCACTATCATCACAATAACAACAACACAACACAAGATATTCAGAGAAGGAAGAATATGGATACACCCTAGCATACATGAATACAGTATTGCCATATAGGTCAGATTAATGAAGGACAGGTTACCTTAAAAGGGAACAAAGCTAAACTAGGAATTATTTCACTGCTAAGAGGAGAAGGACTTTCCATACTCAAAAAGCAATTGTATAAGCACCTAAATTTGTAAGAATCACTTTGGAACCTTAAAAAAATATTGCAATTTGCTGTATCCAGAGACTGTGTCCTCAGACCAGAGGCTACCCTCCACTTCTACAAAACCCCACTTGCCCTTCTAATTACAGGGACTGTTTCAGGGTTCAATACAGCAGATGACTCCGGACCTTGCCATTGACTGTGACCTGCTCTACTCAGAACATCAGGATGAAAGAAAGAGACGGTTTGTGATGACGCTGAAATCTTGGAAACACAGCCCTGTCACATTACATAATTGCTTCATTCCCAGCAAACTATGGAAGAGAACAAACATGGCGAGCACAGGAATAGCAGATGTTACTGGGGGACTGGAGAGAAGAGGGATGTGAGGGAAGAGACTAAGAGCCAACTGTGAGAAAGATAATGTATTTTCATTGACTCCAGTATTAGAACTGGAACGACCCCTCCATCTCAGTTAAAAGCTGGGATGGGAAGAAAGGCAAAGGTATTTAAGGAAACAAGTTCACCTTGTTCAGTGCCCTCATTAATAGTTAAAGGTCACACCAAATTGTGATGGGCTCAGCATGTGATTAAGAGGTAAAGCACTAGAAAGATGAAGAGCTGGTTGATTATGGTGAGCAAGCAAGAACTGGGTGCTGGAAACCCCATGAGCCATCTATCATGCTTCTTCCATTGTCAGATGCCCATCCAGGAGTAGGATTTTAGAGTATCCCTTTGTCAGCTCCGGAATTAAATTCCCAAGGAATAAAGAGAGGAGCGAAACTGTGGCTGGCAAGATCCAGATGTGATAGAATACAGACAACCTAAAGGAAAACAGCAGAAATAGAATTCAATGTGTGTGTGGCAAGAGAGACATATACACTCACAGGATTGCAAATACTTACAGCACTTTCCCAAGTGTTTAATCCTCACCACAACCCTAAAAGATAGGGACAGCCAAGAAGTGGCACACTCAGGTTTCCAATCTAAGTAGTCTAGTTCCAGAGCCTCAGAAAGCATATAAGGTGGGCAGCTTTCTCCTCCTCCCCCTTCTCTCCCCTCCCCTCCCCTCATCTCTCCTTTCCTCCCCTTCCCTCTCCTCTTCCTCTCCTCTCCTCTCCTCTCCTCTCCTCTCCTTTCCTCCTGCGCTTGTTGTTTCTGGTTTATCTAGCAAGTCATATTCCTCTTAGGGCC